CCCCAGCTCCATGGCGCCGCCCGAGGGGCTTGCGGCCGCCTGACTGCGAGGGGGAGCCCGAGGGCGCGGGGCCCAGAGCGCGGGGCGGGGCCCGGGAAGCGGGACGTCCGGACAGCGGCCCCCTGTGGGGCGATTGGCCACCCGGAGGGGGCGCGGCAGTCAGGGTTCTCTGGCCGGGGCAAGGTTTTCCAAACTGCCCGGCGGCGACTCACCCACCGCGCGCGAGATCGGTTTACGGGCCCCGCCAGCACGCTTTCCTGCCAGGAGGACGGCCGGCGCGGCTCGGCGGCTGAGCATCGACCCAGGATCCAGGCGATCGGGGTTCGATTCCGGGTCAGGGCACAGCCCCGGGCTGCGGGCTCGATCCCCAGCAGGGGGCGTGCAGGAGGCAGCCGATCAGTGACTCTCATCATTGACGTTTCTCTCTCTCCCTCCCCCTTCCTCTCTCTGAAATCAATAGAGATATATATATTTTTAAAAAGCCATATGTGGTGGTTAATTCCATGGAGAACTCAGGGCTAATATTTCTTGTTTTGTTTCTGAGGAGAAAAGTTTGGCAAAAAGGATCGCATGCCCGCCCTCCCCCAGACCTCGGAGTGGCTCACTCCTGGTGCCCAGAGGGAGAGTTTGGACAACCAATAAGCTTGCAGAAGAATCCAGTGCCGAAGAAGGCTCACTTTAGCCTCAAAGAGAACTGAACCCCAAAATCACCCACAGGAGGCCACCAGCACTTATAAAACTTGCATAAGGTAGGAAGGAATAGGACTGGGGTCCTTGGGGTACATGGTGGCCGGCAAGGCCAAGCACTGCTTTCTGAGGCTCCAGGGTCAGCTGCGGGTGTAGGGTGCCCGCTGGCTCCCGTGTACAAGCTGCTTTGTTCTGTGGCTTCACGTGGGAAAACCTAGAGCCAGTGCTCTGAAGACCTTCTGTGGCCGGGAGTAGGGAATCGGTGATTGCAGGGCCTCTGGGGCGCCCGGGGCTTTGGGCTGGCTGGAGGAGAGGTGGCGGGCAGCAGGAGGCACAGATTGGAGAGGCCCCTGGCGGGCAGCAAAGACAGTCCCCCCATGAGGCCTGGCGCGTGGTGCAGCGCGCACCCCCAGCCGTCTGAGGAGCCCTGCTTTCTGCCCCTGACCTTGGACCCTGCCCTCTGCCTGCCAAGGCGAGGGAGGGACAGCCCCTAGCTTGTCCTGCAGAAAGGCACATCTGCTTGGCTCCCGTCAGGGGCTTTATCTGCCCCCAGGTGGTGTCTCAGTCCTCTCACTTGCCCTGTGCTCCTGGGTGGGCCAGCTGGACTGACCCCCGGCAGCTTTGGTGCAAACCCTGCTCTGGAAGTGCCCGCAGCACTCCCCACCCCCACTCTGTGCCCTGTGCCCTCGCAGCTCAAGGGGACCATCGCCTGGAGGGCCCCACCCCAGCCCCTCACCCTCTGCCCCCTTGCCCAGGGTTGGGCGCTGCACTAGTCCAGCTGACTGACCACCTCAGGCCTCCTTACATCCACGCTCGGCCTTCTGCATGCACAGGCCATGCCGGGACCCGGGCCAGGGACAGTAGGAAGAGCAGCAGCTGAGGGCCCCTCCCCAGCTTGGGCTGCCCTCTCGGGGGCCTGGGGGGGCGTGTCCAAGGTGAAGCCGTCTTATCCGCGGAGCCCAGCACCCCGCCCGCCCCGCCGGCCCCACCTTCCCCGGGGCTGGCCTCGAGTCCGGGCGTCGCCCCCAGCGCAGCGGGCAGACCCGAGACGCGGGGCGCAGGGCGAGGCCGAGCCTCGGGAAGGGAGGTGGCCGCAGGCCGCCCTCGGCCCCAGGAGCCCCTCCGAGGGCGGGAATCCCGGTGGACCGGCCGCGAGGGGCGGCGGTGGAATCCGCCCGCTTCCGGACTTGCCCCCTCCTCCCTCCGCGGAAGGTGAAGTGTGAGCCCCACAGCCCCTGACCCCACGGCCCCACCTCGGGGC